GTGTGTGTGTGTGTGTGTGTGTGTATGCTGCTATGAGTCATGCTATATATGAAATCATTTGCAGCCCTGATGATGATATCGATTTCCCATATTTGACTTGAATTGCTAATCCCTTTTTAATGAATAAGTGTATTAATCAAATCTGTAGGGCTGACTCCCACTGTGGTCTATTTATTCATTTAGGCTATTCAAGTGGTTTCTGCCATTTCAGTGGACCATAAAAAAATCATCACATTATCTCACCTTCACTGGCAAATTGTAATATAAACCAACGGTAACGTGTTGTTTGCATGTTGGCACGCGAGTGCAGAACAGACGGCGATGCTAAATCTGGACAGCCTTACTCATCCACCTCCATCTTCACATCGTCTTCATGTGTTAAGAGTAAAAGCATCTGTCTGTAAACGTGGTGCATGTGCATACATTTATTTACATGAAGCAAAAACACTAAGAGTGAATCTGTGGACATTTTTAAATATTACAAGTTTTAAATTGTGTGGTTCATTATGCAAATGATCCATAATATAATCAGAAATGTGTCCATTTATTTCTACATTTCTACAGCTGAGGTCGGAAACTTGGATTCTGAGGTTCAAAAGTCAATTTATGTCGACACATTAGAGCTGAAGGTTTTTGCAGAGGGGAATTTAGACATCTCTTCAGATATCAGAAAAAATATAGACAGGAATAACAATAGAGGCAACTGGAGAAGCTATAGAATGACCTCAGTTATGAATATAGTGTATATGTGTGACACCTCAGTTTAAACCAAGGTTGCAAGTCAGACTTTGACAAACTGTGGCCACAAGTGTTACAGCTAACAGACAATATTAGAACACAGTGTAACAGTGGCAAAGTTTGAGAAAAGTCATAAAGTCAGTGAACTGACTCAGAGAGGTTTGTAAACATAAGCAGCAAAAAAACATTGTGTGTCGAACTGAGCTGTGCCATGAATTTAAGTTTTCATTTGTACGTTTTCCTCTTTTGTCCAATAACATACATTGAAAAGGCATGTTCGCTGATATCCACCACATTCACAACATGTACTGTATTTTAGGATTATTGTGATTAGCACCAGTCAGTGTAGCAGCAAATCATTGTTCCATCCCCGGAGCTTCTGGCATGACTAAAAATAATCAAAACACAATGAAGGTGCCCAACAATAATAATACTTCACTTCCATTTTCTAAAATATCTGAAGTCAATTTTTAATATAGTCTCAGTTATTTTGCCATGACTGAACCCACAAATTCAGCTTAGTAAGCACCACACTGTGCCAACTGAGCCATACAGGACCACAGCTGAGCCACTGTGTGTGTGTGTGTGTGTGTGTGTGTGTGTGTGTGTGTGTGTGTGTGTGCGTGCGTGTGACAGAGAGAGAGGTGAACCCTTCTCTTGTGGAGCCACTGTTAATTTGACCAATTTGATTCAGTTGGCCAGGGCTGGAGATGGTGTGATTAAATCTACCCAGGTCACCAACGGGGGTGAAAGCAATTACTTTACAAAAAAATAGAGTGACAGGGGAAGGAGAGGGGACACCCTGCTTTTCTTTCCCGACGCCACCCCCCCCCCTCTGTCTCGCACTCCCTTTGCTCCGCAGCCTCCTACCTTCCTTTTCATTTTTTATCGCTGTAAATGATCGGTGGCCGTCGTTAAAGGGAGTGGGTCACTGAGGGCCAGTTTATCAAGGTCGGGATGGAGGGTGGATCTGGGTCCCAACACACACACACACACACACACACACACACACACACACACACACACACACACACACACACACACACTGCTGCAGTCTTTAAGTGATCCCCTAGATACACTTTTTGTCATCTGTCACACTCATTTTGAGCTTATTCCTTCACTTCCTACACTTTATTACAGTGAGCCCAGCTTCGATGATAGGGGGCTTTAGGATCTCCGCTCTCATCATAAACATGATAATAGTCAGTGTCGTTCCACCATCACTTCACCTGATGATCATCGTTTTGTTGTCTTAAGCCAGAGTCCTGCGAAGCTCCTTGGAAAATATTTGATTTGAAGTCGACAGCTGGATTTAATTGAGGGGCCTAAATGGCTTTCATATAACGATGATGTTCTCCATTCCACCGCAGTTTTATGTAGATGAGCACATTACTTTAATGGTCGGCGTTTACCATGGGAGGGAAGAAAGGGTAGATGTAGAGAGACAGCGAGAGAGGAGGCCTCTCTCCTCTTTAAATTCACACACCCTAGCCAGATGGCTCTTTTCTTGCATGAGATTAGAAGATGTTTCTGATTCACGGTGTCGCTTTCTGGCAAAATTAATATTTCAGGCTAAACTATTTCTCTTTTGGTTTGTGCGTGTGTGTGTGCGTGCGTGCAAAGCTCCTCCTCTCTGTTTGAGAAGGGAAGGACAGATTGCAGGTAGTGGTGGGCGGACACTAATTCCTGATTTCCCAGAAAGTCGTTGGTGTTAATTGACTGTTCGGAAGGTGAAAGAAGCCGTAATGAGAGATTATTAAGGCGGCATGAAATAAAAACACAAGCAGATAAAGAGACATTGATTAACAAAAAGAACAATGATGTAGTACTGATTAGTAGCATATTGTCGAGCGTCTGATTGTGACTCATATAACATCATTAGCCTGACGTTCACAACTCAGGTGTGTGTGCACAAGTGCGTGAGTGTGTGCATGTGTCTTGTGTGTGTGTGTGTGTGTGTGTGTGTGTGTGTGTGAGAGTGTGTGTGAGAGTGAAGGGCAGCTATGATAATAAACAAGCTAATTATCATTTTCCATCCATAAATTAGCATCTGCTGGTTAAATAGAGTGGATTTCAACAGTGGGTGGCACATGACCAGCTGGCTACAGTATCTGGTGTGGCTGTGGCTGCCAGGATTAGCCCCACAGTGATTTTGTGTCACTGGTGGATCTCCCTGAAACCCACCCTGAGGCGGTCGGCTGAAGCTTTTTCTCCCCGTAGCCCCCCGCGCAGTGCATTAACCTCGATGGCGCCGATGGATGCGCACATGGTAATGTGTCGTGGCGTGCAACGAATGCTGATGCACTGACCTTTGGCAGTGTTGATGTTGGTGATGACGGAGTGTGTCTCTGAGGCAGGGAAAGTGGGAGAGGAAGTGTGTATCTATAGGGTTAGTGGTGTGTGTGTGTGTAGGGGGTCACCACGTCCCACATCAAGATAATGATCAAATTGTTTCTAACTGACGCTCTCTGTCCATCTCTCCCTTTTCCTCCCCCTTTTTCCTTCCTCTCTTCCCACATGCTCCTCCTCTTCTGCCTATCTCCATCTTTCTTTCACCCACACCTCTCCTCCTTTCTCTTCCTCACCCACCCACCTGTCCTCTTTCTCTTGCCCCCCTCCCCTCAGATGGAATGTCCTGGGCCTGCAGGGGGCGCTGCTGAGTCACTTCCTGGAGCCCGTGTACCTGCACAGCGTGACCGTCGGCAGCCTGCGCCACACGGGCCACATGGGCCGAGTTCTGAACCAGCGGCAGGAGCGGCTCGGACCCCTGCCCGCCACGTACAGACGCAACCAGCCGCTGCTCAGTGGTAAGACTGTGACACAGACAAGGCAGACACGTCACGCTTTGATTTAGGTGAAACACGTTTAGGAAGATGTTCAGTCTGCAGGAAGTGGCACAATGAGATTCAGTCATGGGTCCATGGTGACAGATGCCTCTTTGAAGGTTGAACAGCAGACAGTGAGGTTTGTTCTCTAATATAGACAAGTCTCTGTTTCCTCAAAGGTCAGAATAGTTGAAATGAGAGTTCACACAAATCGAGAACTGTGCAAAAATAGTGCACAGATGTACGTGACTCCTGGGGCGTCTCCATTCAAATGACCTGGTTCTGTCAATCCTGAGAAGTGATGAGAATATAGACACAGATATTATCAGTGTGTCCCTGTTACAGTGGATCAGAATAATGTGAACCTGGAAAATGATAAATGTTTTTAATTCATATCACTGAGTTTGTATACTTGCCAGGCTTCACGAGTCAGTCTCAGTTGTCAATCATGATGTGCATGAAATGATAATAACCACCGTCAAGAAACTTTTATTCTGCTAACCTGGAAGATTGGCTTTACATGACATTGGCTTCACTTTTGGGGAGCAGTCGTGTTGCCATCTTTATATACAGTTTAAGCTTCTTTCACATTGTCTAGAATCATTTGAGCATCATAATGAGACAAAAACATTTTTTTATGCAGTTATGATTCAGATTTTTATTTAATTAAATGGTTATGTTTGTAAAGATCAGAGTGAGTTGCACAAAAACAAGGTTATATTAAAATACACAATTAATCATAGTGTATTAATTAAAAAGTGTTTAAACTCACCTTTATTAACTATTATATGACTTTCAAGAGGTTTAAGATCCTACTTTAGCTACTTTTCTGCCAAATTAAGGACATATTGTGTTTTCTATTCTCAACCTGCCTCTAAACACACTTGTCTGAGTGTTCAGTGTTTTGGATGGGGTTATCCCATGTAGAGATCCACATGTGCGCAGTATCTATTTTCAGAGATATATTTTCATAGAAACGTCAGCCCCACATATGCAACGCCCACCTCCCCCACCCGCTTAACAATCCTGTGTACCCCTGCCTCGCTGTGTGGCAGCAAGACAAGCAACAGCTAAGAAGTCGTCTGGTGTGTGTGCTCACAGGGCTCCACTGAGACCTCAGGCTTCTGTTTGTAGTAGAGATGAATGCTGGGAGAGGATCTGAATGACACCCTACTTGTAGGAACTGCATCAGCCATCACTTCAGATCTAGGCCAGTCGGAGAAGCTGAGTGACAGAGACGCACAGAGATGTAGGGCACATTTTGTTGCTGGGGATCATTGATAAGAACAAAGGCTGTGACAGTCGCATACAAGGAAACACATTATATCCTGTCAAATGCACACAATGGGATAAAACTAAATCTAACACCTTCTCTTTTTTTCGAGAATACTTCTTGAAGGGCACAGGAACTCTTTGCGTTGCAGGGCTCTGCTCCGGGTAATTGGCTGCCAGGAGGATGAATATTTTGTGAGGACTGGCCTCATCAAGATTGATAATTGTGCTGAATCGTCCTCTGGTGATGATGAATTTATCACAGAATCCCTCGACCACGGCCTCAGCGAGCATTTCTCATGATTTGTTCAATGGCTTTTTGAATGGAGTCATTTGACTTGTCTGGTGTGGAAGTTTCCGATTTTACAAGCTGCAGTTCATATCTCAAGAATCATTGTCCACGTTAATCTGTTTGTTCATTATTCATTCTTTTATTAACTTTTATTGTATTTGGGTATTCACTCTAACTAATATCAACCTCAGAGTAAGTACAAGGCACAGACATGCACTGAACTCCAGATCATCTCCTGACATCCTCTGAAAGCAAAAAAAATGTGAGTGAGAGTCTCCAGATTTTGCCAGCCTGTTAGTAAAACTCTAGATGATGTCTGAATGAGCCCATGTGAGATTACAGCAGGATTTTCCACGAGCCAGTGGGCATGTTGATGATGTTTCTAAAACGTGACAGACACAAAAACAAAAAAAAACAAAAATAATTTAACCATCTCAGGAAGAAGCAGCAGAAAAAGAACATGAAGACAAGATGTCAAGAGAGCTTTTGTTCATAGGGTGTCAGTGTGTTGGAAACAAAATCATGTGATGTCAGCAGCGGAATCTATACATCACATCCTGCCTCCTGTCTGCTGCAGCAGCCCTCACCTCAACGCTCCGGAGATTCCTGTGTTTTTGTTAATGCGTCTGAGTGGATTCTCCTGCTGCGTTCTTCAAATGAGAAAAAGGCTGCGAACAGGCGCATACGGGGTCAACATGTCTATGATGTAGCTTGGGCCAGACCCCGAAGTGCTTTGAAAGTGATCAGTAAAATCTTAAAATCAATTCTAAAAAGGACAGGAAGCCAGTCGAGAGGAAGAGGGTGATTTGATGACATCTGTTAAAACCAGTAAAAGCCTAACTAATGCATTCTGAACTTGTTGGAGTTGTGGGCTCACTTGGACATTGTCCCGAGGTTTTATGAGGGGGCTGGCATGGAAAGCTCTGGAGAAGGTCCGGAGAATTTGATTTTCCATTTAGATAATTTCAGTGCATGACTGAAAGCAGTGTCAAACGTTGTTTGTCTTTGATTGTCACAGACATGCCCCCCCCACCCTCACCACGTCGTCTTTACTCGAAACAGGCGTAGCCTCCTCTGTTGCCAGCGAACACTCTGCCGTCTTCCCTTCTCTCGTGATTGTGTCCCAAACTGTCAGATCGTCGCACCTGCACTGCCTTGAGTAGCAACAGTCTATTGAAGGGTAGAGGGCTGGAGGGAGGGGAGGGGGGGAGGAAGATGGACAGTGAGTGGAGATGGCCCTACACCAAATCAATGTAATCACAGCCCTTATCAGACAGCCATTCAATCTGAAGGGAGCACGGGAAGAGAGGGAGAGAGAGGCTGAGGGGAGAAGAGGGAGACAGCAAGGACGGAGAGGAAATAAAGAAAAAGAGAGAGCTCCGCTTGCATTCAGATGTCTGCGTGCAGATCTGCCTCCACCTCCTCCTACGTCCTTTCATCAGCCCTGATGAGCTCCTTGGCCATTGTGTGTCCAGGGTTATTTAAAAAGCAACACCCCTGGAGGAAATTCCCGTGGAGCGCGCTGGAGGCCGGCTCTTATCGCACGCCGGCCAAAGCAGCTCTACCTCAAACCCCCGAGGGTTAAAACACATTGACGGGCCGATGTGTCCTCTGCGCCCGTCCTGCTGTTTGCTTTCTATACAGCGCAGGACGGAACTGTGGCCAGGCTTTGTCGCTTTTTCGGATAAGAGGAATCAGAACAACAGTAGATAAAATAAACATTAATAATCTTCTGTCAGAGTTCGGCTGCTGGAGGAGTACCAGTGCTTGTTTCACTGCTACACCTGCTGCCGTTCCACATATTCAAAGTTGAGATAGTGATTTATTTTGCATGAACAGGATTTTTTATCAGTAGTGTAATGGAAAAATGTATCACATTACTGTAACTAAATACATTTTCAGACCATAACCTCCCAAATCTTAGTTCTGGACATTTTGTGCCATTTGCCTTACACATATGAAGAGCACTGCAGGAGAGTTTCCTTGTCAGACGCATTCACAACAACAGGGAAAAGTTGGTTTCTTATCGCCAAAAGCTCTTGAATCTTGTTGTCATCTTGCTAAGGTGATATCTTTGTCTGCAAAGTCTTCGTGTGGGAGTTTTTAGTTTTTCAGTTTTGTGTCTGTTGTCGTCAGCAGGCCCCTTGACTCACTTTGAATTTCCGGCACAGTTTGACAGTTCTCCAAATGCTTCGGCTCATCCTGCATCACGTCCACTGTGCATTTTTGGAAATATGTTTCCAGGTTAGAAGGTGGCTGGTCCCCAGTGGAGATGAGATCACCCCTCAACTGTTGAATGGGGGTCATGGCAGCTTTGTGGAGAGATGAGCATCTGCCCAGTTCTTCTTTGGTGTCCTCTCCACCTGTGATACTTCAACTTTTGGCACAAAAACAGTCTAGTCTCTAGCAGCTTAAAGGTCCAGTATGTAAGATTTAGGTGAAAGGGATCTATTGGCAGAATACACTGGCCTAACAGGACTGTTAGAGCAGTTTCAGGAATTTGAACGACCAACCTTTTCTTATAAACAGATCATTGACCTTGATGTAGACACTGTAACAACGTAACCTCCCTCCACTGCCCCATCCTTGCAAGAAATGCTTTAAAGAAAAAAAACATGCTGAATTCCAGTAATGCGGGATAGATGCAGTGTTTACACATAAACACACAGGCTGTGCTGCATCGTGGCTCCACAGCAGCCTCAGATATTAAGCGGCAGGTCTTCGCCCTGTACAGCTTTGAATCCCTAATTCTGCCTCTCTCACGTCCGCCTTCCAAACACTATCCAGAAGAGAAATTGATCAAGTCTTCAATGAGGGAAAAATCAAATTGGCTATTACAGAAACAGAGGAGTCAAGTCCATTGAATGGATGAAATGAGCCATGAATGGAGCAGGAGAAAAGAGAGAAGACAGGATGGATTGGGGGGGGGGGGTCTTTTGTTCAGAGAGGTGCGTGTGCACAAGAGAGGAGAGATGGGTAATAAGAGACTTGGAGGATTGTTACCGTGGCAGGCAATTCATCCCGGTTCCGAGGTGCTGCAGAAAAGGAAGAGCGAGTAAGGACGGGTAAAATGAGTGTGGCATGAGGGGAGATGATCTGCAGGCATGTACTGTGGTATTGTACATCAGGTATTGTACTATAACAAGCTGTCTGTCAGGCACCGAGATCAGAAGCAGCTGTTGTTCACCCGGCGCACAGAAATCTGTCTGCTGATTTTCTGTGAAGCCTCCTGATACAACAAATAACTGGGTTGGAAGTCGAGGTGAAATCCAAAACAGCGCTTCCTTCCCCGAGACAGTTTTACAGATTCAGAGTGGATTTAGTGTTGGAGCAGCACTTAGCTGTCACACTTTGTTAGCACCGATGCTACACGAGGAGCTTGTCTGTGGCAGTGTGACTCATAGTGCACCCAACATTTCTACCTCTGTAGTTTTCAGCAGTAAGACAATGTGGCAAAGCATGAGGGGAAATGTTAATTAATGAGGTCAAAGGTCAAACATTACCTGCAAACAGATGAACAATTTGCTCCTCATGTGGCTATTGGTTTTAGAAATGTTTTTGGAACTGGCAAAAGGATTCATGTAAATAAATTATAATTGAAATACTGAGACAATTCATCAAGCTAATTTAAAGGAAATATATGTTTGTGTCTGGTCTTTACTTGTTCAACAAGTCGCAGACAGCAAAAGCATCATTCACATGGTTTAAATGGCTTTAGCAGTGCACATAACCATGAATGAACTCATGTTTCCTGCTCTTATCTTTCTACCAACATGCGTGTGAATGCAGCAGACTCCATGTCCAAATGAATGCAGTGGTGGATCTAGGATTTCAGCCGGGGCCTGCTGCAGCTCTTAATGAAGCCATCTTTTCATGTCTCAGCAAAACAAGTGAAAAATATTTTTTTCCCCAAATTTTTCCTTTAGTTTGCGGAAGTAAGAATTATTTTATGCCTAATCATAAAACTTTTTACAACCTTTTTACAGCTAACCAAACAACTGGAGCAGCTAAATTTTGCCTTAGGCACATACTTCCTGATCAATATTCATAGTCCCCGTAAAAGTTAATGTATGATAAATAAAAATATATGCATCTTCACCACTGCCGGAAACACTTGTTTCCTCACTGCACCACCACCAGTGTGTTGATTAGTAATGTCTCCTGCTTCAGATGTACAATCAGATGTTTTAAAGGCGTCAAACACTGAATCAGAACTTCTTACCCAGAACATGCTGGAAAACTGCTTCCTGTGATACAACTATGCCTCTTGGACATTTTTGCTCTGAGCTCTTGTTAATTTCTCACACAAGCCTGGTACCTCTGCCAACACCTATGATTTGGACAGATCATGCAGTTCCACTTCCCCCCCCCCCCAGAGAGGGCAGGACTGAGAGGCAGACAGTCCAGTGTAGGGGAGAGTTGATCTTTGTGACTGTAGAAAATATTTACAGCGTACAGAGCAGCTATCACTCAAACACTGTTAACTGCAGGGACACGAGCACCCACACAGCGGCAGGAACGCATTGCTTATGTGCTTGATAGACCCCCCCCCCCCTCTCGGAGGGTGTATCAAAGCCTCATATAAGCAGCCCTGCAGTTTCAAGCCCAGGTTGACTTGGCTTTTTGCAGCGCTGCAAAACTTTATGTCTGCCATTAGCCTCAGGGAGCGAGGGAAGGGTGGAGGAAGGTTAAACGAAACAGCAAAGCGGAGGTTTGAAAAGAAAAACACAGTTTTGCATTTTTCACTCAGATTCTCACAAATGAATCACGCTCACATCAAATGTTTTGAATTTAGAGGAAACACAGCTACAGTTAAACAACCCACGTAAAGTCATTCTCTCTGCTGTCGTTCCCGCAGGGCTGAGCAGTGCCGAGTACCAGCAGCCAGGAAAGGCCTCGTGCGTGAGCGTCAACTGGACGCTGGGCGACGTGCAGCTGGAGGTGGTCAGCACGGCCACGGGACGGAGACGGGACTCAGGGACCCCCTCGCGTATCTGCAAGCACGCCCTGTTCACCCGTTGGAGCAGACTGTACCGCAAGGTGAGCGCACACTCTCCACAGAGAAGGTAACGTCTGAGCAGAGCGGACTAGATTCAATTTAGAAGGAGAGAAAGGAGACTTGACAGCAACAACTTCTGGTTATTGACTGAATTGTGTTTTTAGGCAGCAGTAAAATATAATGACAGTGTAGATGGCTGGAGCTTTTCTAGATGTGCATGAGCATGAAACACTCTCAGCTTAATCATCAGGACAAAAACTAAACAACTCTGCACAGAAAACCACAAAAGAGGACTCAACTGAAACTCGCAGGGAGCATTTGGGTTTTTAGAAACCTGATAAAACCAGAAGCTGAGTAAAAGCCTAAATGCATCATCCATACAGTGTTGAGTTATCCAGGTTCCTATGTTGCAGAATAGGGCTGCCAAAAATCAAGTTCCAGTTAATTTGACATAAGACAATGTGTTTGAACATATTCGCATATATCCCCACATGCATGGTACAAAGACAACAAACAGCGCCACCTCTGTTTGTTACTTCGCCATTTACATTGTACTACGCATAATTCTCCCACTCTCGGATGCTCTGTTAGAGGAATATCAAGAATTTTTCCCCATGTTGGAATAATTTTTTAATTTTGAAGTAAGAGCGACATCCCTATCGAAGAGTATTGATGGAATAATGTCAATAAATAGAAATGCGACAGTCAAATCTCTTTCTTTATAAAGCACATTTAAAACAACTAAAGACAAACAGGCTTAAAATGTAAATTAATAATAATAAAAATTGAGACAAAACCGAGAATGAATAGAACAAATAAACGATCAACATCATAAATGATTGAGAATTAAAATATTGCACAATAATTGGAATATAAAATAGTCAAAATGAGATAATAGAAATAAAGGTGTCAAACTCAACTGGAATTTAACCGCCAGTGAGTGTGTCTTGAGCAATGATCTAATTATTTGTTTGGTCTAAGTGATTCTAATATGAATATTAATGACAATTATTTTTAATAATAATATGAATAAGCTATTCCAGAGACAGAACCAGTGGCTCCTCACTCTACAGACAGATGTTTTCACCTTCTCATTATGATAGAAAAAGCTCCGGGGTAGCATTAGGGGTGTGGCAGCTCGGTACAGCTGTGCACAACACTGTTTATTATGACGTGTCTGCTTTTGGAAAATAATTTTAATGTTGATTAAAAGCCTTCAGAGTATTTGTTTTCTCTGCAGGAAAAATATGTTATGATTTACAATGTTATTGATACGAGCCTAAAGAATAGTGTGATTTTTCTATTTATAAAAGCCTGTTTCATCATCTGTACTCGCTCCCCTGCTGGAAAACACGAGGTATTACTCAGCTGTTGTCAAGAACAATATGCAAACTAATGCCACCAGTAATCATGTGCACACACACACACACAGGGTCATGCAGAAACATTAACTATAGAGGTCCGTGCCAGCATCCACTCACTCAGACACATGTATTAAAATCAGCTGCAGAGCTCTGTGGCTGCTGGTGAACGCTCTGGAGAGGATTCGTGGCTTTTCCTTCTCTCAGTCGTAGATAAATTTGTTGCCCGGTAACATCTGCTGTCAATGCGGCTTATCAAAACCTGGCAGATCGGATCTTTTCACAGTGGCACGCGGGCACTTTCATTTTCCATTCTGAAACTTTATGTAACAGACACTGCCTGCGTCGCCAAATGGCGGCTGTTAAAGCATAATGACTGTGAAACCATAATTATTTGGAGAAGTACTCGAGGAGGCCCCCGCCCTAAGTGCTCCCCGCGCGCTGTATATAAGGGCCACGCAAGAGCAGTCGCACTAATCTCCAAAAGAAACTTTGCTCTCCCTCCCTCGCTCTCTTTCTCTCTCTCTCCCCCCTCACTCTTCTCTCAGCCGAACTTCATTGTTTCCCCCTCGCGACAATAGGAACGCACAGAAAAGCACAGAGAATGTTCAATTGCTTGTGAAATTTAAATGGGGAGATTACACAGCTGTTGAAGCCCACCACCACCACCACCTTCCCCACCCACCCAAATGCATTTGCGCCGGCTCATTCGTTTTGTTTTGCTCTCCCTCCCTTCCACCCCCACGACGAAACCTTTAGCCCCCGTGCCCCAGCTTTATTCCTCTATCTGTTTTTTCCCTCCCCAACTTCTTTTTTCTCTGTGTCTTCTTTAACTGACTCCCAGTTTCTCTGTCTCTCTTTTTCTTCCATGTCATTCGCCTGCCATCAGTTGGGGATCCACGTGTCCGGCTCAACGGACCACCACCTCCTGTACTGCGAGGCAAAGATGGCGGCGCGCCCCTATCAGACAGTGAAGCAGCAGTGGTTCAGATCTCTGCAGGAAACGGGCCTCGGCACCTGGGTGAAGAAACCGCCTGAGCAGGAACAGTTCCTGCTGGCGGTCTGAAGAAGAGTGTGTGTGTGTGTATGTGTGTGTGTGTGTTAGAGAGAGCGAGAGAGAAAAAGCAGAAGTGTTTGTTTAACCTTTATTTTTTTAGTAAGACAACTCTGTGCTCCTCACCGACATCGTGTTTCACAACCTTCACACCCGAATGTTTCAACCCCTAAACTCATCACCACCGTCATTCACCCGCATCGAGAGGAAGGTTGGCAGCACGGGCCGAAAAGGAAAAAGGTACCAACAATAATCGTTTAGACCCACGAACGCACACATTTAAGCAAACACACACCTAAATACCCCACCTCTCTGTCTGTCAGGGAAGGGTGGGGTAACCTTGAGCAGAATGAAAGACAGCCGCTATCTTGTCATCAGCTATTTCCGGGCCCCAAGGCTCCCGCTGAGGAGCCGAGCCACGGGGGAGAGAGAGAGAAAGGGAAAGAAAGAGAAAGGGAGAGAGAGAGAGAGGAGTCCACGTCCAATTACCAGCCCTGTCAGGGTGATGGCTGATAGAGGAAGAGGAAGGAAAAAGAGAGAGTGAGAAAAAGAGACCTGCTTCAGACCTCCTCACCTTCCCCTCACTCTCTCATTTCTTTCGTCTTCCCCGACTCACCCCTTGACTTCCGACTTCCCTCCCTCTTTTGTCTCCCTCCTTTGCCCTCTCTCCATTTTCTTCTTACCGCCATCTATTTCCCTCGCCTCCTCTTTGTCACTCTCTCTCCTGCCTCTCATCCGACGGATTTCCACATGACAGGTTAATACACCCTCTTTTTTTACCCCCGTTCTCACCCCACTGGGCAGAGAGGAGGAATAGAAACGTGGTGAGGTATGTAAACACGGCCATTACAGCGCTCTACAAAGTACAAACGGAGGTAATGCCGGTGAAGAAGGAGGTGTATTTTCTTGTTTTCCCTCTCTGTTTATCTCTGTTCCCTCCTTCTCTTTTGACCTCAGCTTGTCCTGTTCTGTTTTTCCAAACACCTGAATCACCAATAAGAGTGAGTTTGGGTTGTGACTCATTAGTGAGGCCTCGTTGACCTCATCGACTCGTGCTCCCTCGCCGTGTCAAGACCGCCCTGAGCCGATAACAGTCGAGGTGGCGTGCAGCTTTGCTCAGCACTTTGGTCGACTTCACTTTTAAACGCCATCTTCCCAACACGTAGGCGTTATTAGATTCACAACTGCGATGTGACTCTAGATCCATGTACATTTGTACCTCCCACTGATTTTTGCATATTTCTCGATGTAAACATACAAGCCAGCTAAATGTTCATATGAATTACGATCATGACTTGTGTAGTTGTGTCCCTGTTCTCTTGAAGGTACTGAAAATGAATAGAAGGCGTCACCAGCTCGGCCCAGTCAGTGGCAATATCCAAATAGTGAGAGCGACATCTAGTGGTACACTTCTGTCTTCTTTTGGTTTTCCTCTCCTGCCCCTGCTGATGCTGGGAACTTCACAAACTCCAGTGAGGATACAGTTGAACTGTGAGTCTGAAAAATAAGCTCTTTGGTGGAGGGATGATTTTACACACAAAGCATTGAACTGAGAATAGGACCCACATGTGAACTGCTTCTGTTTTCTTTGTAATTTTTTCAAAGGCCAATCAGTTTTTATCAGTTCTGCATTTAAAGAGGTATGAATTTGATTTTTTTTTTTTTTAAGCCCCTGAAAATCGGATTTCAAATTTGAAGTATTACTCACTATTATTGGATATTCTGTTGAAAAAGAATGTCTTCATAAAATTTGTTGGGTGGTTAACTGTCAAAACTGGGTTGGCTGCTGTTTGATCAGATTCTGTCCTGACTCCTTTATTTAAGAATGTGACAAAACTTTTTTTAAATGAGGCCCCACAGTTAAACCAGTACCAAGAGAATACATAAGATTTTCATGTTAAATATCCAAAACATTTTAAAGCTAAAGGTCCAGTGTGTAAGATTTAGGTGAAAGGGAACTATTGGCAGAGATTTAATGTAGAATAATCCTCATGATGTTTTCACTAGTCCGTTTCATCTAAATTGTATGAATTGTAGTTTTCTTTACCCCAGAAAAGGCCCTTTATATTATTATTATATGTACTTCATATTTACATCGAGGGGGTCCTATCTACGGAGGCTGACATGTTTTTTAAATTAGTCCAAACTGGACAAATTAAACACCTATTGAGTTTTTATGACAACTGAAGGCTACCACAGTTTCTTTTTCATGTTTGGAAGGAGAGGGTGAGGTGAGGGGTATTCAGCTGCAACATGCAATTTCAACACTAGATATCACAAAATTCTACACACTGCACCTTTAATATTTCATCTCTATCGCTGACTGAGAAGATTTTTTGAAGATAGCAAGACTTTTCCCTTTAGTTGCATTTGTATGTGTCATAATGGTCGACATATTATTTTTAGGGGCTTTCTCATTATGACATATATACAGATTTGGAAGATTATTTTCTGTCATAAAATTGGAAAACTGTGAAGAGACTGTGTGATAGGAAACCCACCACAGAGACCATTTAGTACTCCTGTGCTAGAATACTATCGGTTTTCTGTGCACAAGTTTGTTTTATTT